GCATTCCTGAAAATGAATCTTTTGTAATGAATAGTCTTGAAGCAAACAATGTGATAGTGTTGGACCACGTGGTTTCTTTTGACTCTGACACCTGCAAATATCTTATTTGCTGTTTTGCCAGTAGCACAAGCTGTGTCTCAGTCTACTTGCTGTTCTCCAGAGCTGTTTGTTTTCTTCCAGAATGTTTTTCTGGTGTGTTTACTGACCTTGGATTTTTCTGTGAAGCACATGTTTCCAAACTCTTGGTTTTCTGAAACGTTGTCTGCACAGTGATGTGAGCTCAGGCCATTAACTGTACAAGAGGCTGGGAGAATGCAAGACCCAAGGTATCAAGAGGGTTTCTTTCTCAACAGGGTACGGACACTGTCTGAGGAATTTCAAAGTGCATTTAGTATTTTTCACTGACACTGTGATCTGGCTGAAGCCACATGTAGTTGTCAGGGTGATGTCTTGAGAGGTGAGTGGCAATAGGGATGTGAATTAGGAATAAAGACAGAGGGAAGGTGGCAGTCACATCTGCGGTAGGTACGTCTCCTGTGCCGTTGTGAGCTATGGGAAGCATTCAGGAAACTGCTCTGTAGCAAGAAGACAGAGTACAACCCTTTTTGTCCTTCTCAGGAGGACCTGGTGGAGATACTTGTTAGACTGAGTTCATATTGGTTCTACCTGCTGTGCTTCTTGGTAGTGGAAATAACCTGTGGAAATACCTGTCTTTCAAACAGATATGAAGTTTGCAAGCCAAGCGAGGATGGCTCGGAGTATGTTACTCTCTCTGTTTACTTTCGGGAAAAGACAATGAGGCAATCCAGTAATACTTCAGGGACCGTACTCTTTGGTCAGCCACTATTAATATCTGTGCCAAAACACAAGCTCACTGTGGATCACTTGTACAGTGTGGTTTTGGAGCAGATCAGGTAAGTCACTTCTGTACCTTTGACTCCTATGCAGAGTTCTAGTGACCGCTTATTCAGTTACACTGCAATAGCATTGCTGTGTCCTTGTATAACGGGAAGAATTTTTCTTTATTTGTGTGTGGCATGTAAACCAGTATTTGCATTGCATTAGTGTCAGGAGGCCCCAGGGACATTTCAAGGTCCTGGTTTTTTGGGCTCTGTAAAAGCAGACTGTAAGATAATGCTGGTGGCAGTCACAAGGGAAGCTGTCTGCTTGGTGTTGCAGAACAGGTTAGGAGCAGAACTTAGGCTGTGTTTTCAGGGCTCTCAGATGGGGCCTCCATAGCTTATTTTTACCTTTTCTATCTACTGCTAGTAAAACTTGGAACAAGCAGTGAGAACAGAGATTTACTGAATTGTTGTGGGACAGCAAGAGCTGATGGAGGGGGGTGCTGTTGTTCTGATGTACAGCTTCACTATGATTGTGTGATAAACACATTCCTTCTCTTTAGCCGCTATGTGAAACTCCCTTTGGCAGAAGAATACTCTACACCCTGCCCAGACAAAGGAACCTGCAATGGCTCCAATGGTGTGGTTGAAGGTAAAGTCCTTTCACAACTGGCTGGAAGCTTTTTAGCATTTAAAGCTTTTTATTAGCATTTGGTTTGTGCTGCGTGTATTCGGCTTAAGTGCTGGGTTTTTTCCCACAATGATTAAACCATGTTATTGTGTAGGACTTCTGCATGGTATGGTGAGAATTCTTGTTGACCATTTTCCTTCCAAGGGAAATCAGATGTGCGTAAGCAGCAGCAGGAGAACAAGGTGTGGTGTGCATTCGGGGAAGTCCTTGCTTCTCTATTAGGTGGTCAGGTGCCTCCCTCCAGAGGCAGCTCCTTTCCTAACATGCCTTTTAGTGATAAAAACTGGCCTGTTAGGTAACAAAGAGTAGTTCTGGAGAAATAAAGTGGAAATGGTATTTTCTGTTTGTGGACCTAGAATCACAAGGTCTCATTCCTAGGTTCGATGCTTACAAGGAGGCTTACAGTGCTGATGGCAAATGCATGTTTCCCTTTCCTCTTTAAAATTATTCACTTGTGCTGCTCTGAGAGTAACAACTGGAACAAATTAAATAGGAAATTTTAAAGGGGGGAAAAGTTCTGCCCATTTTTCCAAAAGAATGGAAATAACTTTCCTGGAGACTTACATATTCCCTAATATAAAGACACCCAACTGCAACCCTGCTGATTCTCTCCTGGGATGTTTATTAGGGTGTGCTATCAGAAGGTGTGACTGCTAACCTATTGTGAACTAAGCACTGTCCATCATGTTTGATACCAGGATATAGAACCCAGCACATTACCTGGCATCTGCTAAAATTAAAAATACAGCTTCAGATGTAGTGGTAGCAAGCACAGATTTCTTTTTATTGGTGTCTTTCATTACTCTTTGAGTAATCAGTGTGTGTCGTAACAGGCTCTTGCAAGCAGCTCTTCATGTGATGTGTCAGTCTAAACTTTCACTGAAGCTCTTTAATATTGTGCTTATTTTAAATTTTGCCAGGTGACATTGAAGAGATGGAGCATCAGGATGGCGGCCAGGAAGGCAAGGAAAATCTGGGGGAAGTTGATCCCTGCCACTCTGAGGGCTGTATGCAGATCGAGTCAGCGAGAGACCTGCAGCCTTGCAAGAAGCAGTACTTCACTTTTAGCCTCGTGAATTCCTCTGGGACTTCTGAGATAAACTCCATTGTAGAAGGAAAAATCTTAAAATTGAATGGTAATTATTGTCTTGCTATCTTTTTTTTCCCTTCGCCTTGCACCTTTGCAATAAACGTGTTTCTTCTCTTGCAGCTTTTTCTGCACTTGCTATTGATTGGGATTCTGATACACGGAGGCTACTTTTTGATGAACAGGAGGCACAGGTTGTAGTATGCTCTTTACATACAGCTTATTTATGAAAACTTGCATGGTATTTTAAAAGATTACAGTAAATGGTGAAATGTAGCTGTAGCTCTCTTCACAAAAATTGTAGTCACCAACATATATTTCCATAAAATCTTCTAGAGATAAGGTTTATAGATCTGTAATTGCTAATGTTTCCAATGTTTTCCAAAAAGTAGACATTTTAATTTCAAAGCTAAGTAGTCTAGCTCAAAATCCACTTGACAAACCAATGAAACAAAAAATCCCTCAAAATTTGAAAGAAACTTGAACCCAAATGCATAGAGTCTAGTAAAAAGCTCAGTATTCTGTCTGTGAGAGTTCTGCTGGGTTGTGTTTTGTAATAGAATAACCTGTTGTTACTCTTTTGTGAAAAAAAAACCAAAAAACCCAAGCCTCACCAACTTTGAAGTAAGAATATAGGTTTTATTTTCTCTTACTGACTGTTCGTAACGCAAGAAAGGAGTGACTGGGAGCTTGAGATAATTGTGTGGGTGGGGAAGTGGGGATGCAGAAATAGGCAGCATGGTGGAGGTGAGCATATTCTTTTTAATGATGCCAAGGATTACATTTGACATGGAATTGAATAAAGTATTAATCTCTTTCACTAGGCATTTGAAAAACATGGAAGTATGTTACAACCACAGAAGAAGAAGGCTGTGGTAGCCCTCAGAGACTGCATAGAGCTCTTCACTACTATGGAAACGCTTGGTGAACATGACCCCTGGTAAGAGCCTCTTTCTGCCTGCCACATTTGTTGTAAACCACCATAACTATTTGAGTTCACATTATTTGTCATGAGATTCTGGTAATTTCTTTTGTCTTCATCTGTGAGAAATCTATCAGTTTGTGTTAAGTCATTGACTCAATAGGCTGCAGATGTGGAGTTAATAATAAGTGCAGTTAATAATAAGTATTTGTCTCCTGCCTTTATTTAAACAAAAAAAAGAAGTGGTAGTGGGCACGTAGGTTCCAAAGATCAGGCTATTTTTAATTCTCCAGCATACACCTGTCTTCCAGACAGTATCAGAGGAAGCAGTTGTGGTAATAAAGAGTGAAAGCATGTGGCTGCTTTAGGGTTTAATTATGTATTATTTCTGGCTTGAACCAGTCCTGAACTGTTCCTAACTCTACTAACAATGCTAGTCCAGAGGGGCTAGGTACAGCAGATCCTAACTGACCAAAATGTGACTACTGTGTGGGCAGGACATCTTTGGAGGCTGGTTGCTAGCTGTGTAAGAAAACGACTTGTAGTGTAGTAGGTGATTATTTATTATTAATTTCCAATTACATGTTATAGATGTGTTTGCAACTGTTACCTGAGCTGCATCAGGAGATAATAAATAATGGGACCTTTAAACCTTTTTTCTTTATTTACAAAAGAAAAATTAATCTTTGTACAATGTTCAGTTAGCACACTTGCCATAGGACATTTTGCCTATAAAGTGAAAGCAAGTTGCAGTTTGCAAACCTCTGAGGAAATGTATTCACCTGCGTGTTCCACAAGTCAAAATGCCTTCTATAAGGCAGGGAATGAACTGTGCAATTGAGGCATCTTTTAATGGGAGACCAGAAGCTTTTCTTTTAATGTAGTCATTCATTTCCTTGTTTGTTACTCCTTCCTCAGGTACTGCCCTAACTGTAAGAAACATCAACAGGCCACAAAGAAGTTTGACTTGTGGTCTTTGCCCAGGATTCTGGTAGTGCATTTAAAACGCTTCTCGTACAGCAGATACTGGAGGGATAAACTTGACACTGTTGTGGAATTCCCTATCAGGTAGGAGTCTTCCTTCAAGCTAGGAAGAGCTTGAAGCAGCTGGTCAAGAGAAAGCTAATTCTGATGTTACTGTTGGGTGGGCTTGTTACTACAGCTGTAACTGGAACTCTGTCTTCTGGGTTTGAACTGTAAGACAACAAGCATGAGTCGAGTTGATTACTTTTTTAAAATAATCTGAACTATAATCTAATCAGTTCTACACATCTCAAAACACCAGTTACTAGCCAGTACTGTTTCTTCTGAAATTAGGTAAAACCATGTGATTCTGCTGAACCAAGAGAACTTCTACAGAGAATTTAGCAAATCTGTTTGGCAGAGCTGCACTTGTACTTGTGCAATCCTCAGTATTACAAGATGAAAGCCTGCCGCATTCCTCTGCTTCTGCTTGTCAGCATCCTGCTGCAAGATGAAGCGTATTCCTTACTACTCCTGTCTCACTTTTCATGCCTACACAGGGACACTGAACTGTCTTTTATTCAGCACCTGCCTCTCAATCTTTTGGGAGCACTTGATGTGTTTACCAGGACGTGCCCTGTGTGGGAGGGGTAGCATGCCTGGTCTTCACCCTAACAACACACAGCCATTGAGCAGCAGAGCGCAGCCTTTTCCCTCCAGTTCTGCCCACCCGCAGGACTTTGCTGGTGTCATGCATCACTTTTCTAAAATGTGCTGATTATTGGTGTACTGATACTTTTGGATTTCCTTCCAGGGGTTTAAACATGTCCGAGTTTGTCTGTGACCCAAGAGCAGGCTCATACGTGTATGACCTCATTGCAGTTTCCAATCACTATGGAGCCATGGGAGTAGGCCACTGTGAGTAACTGCTTCTCTGTTCATTGTACACAAGGAAATCTAGGCAGAGGGGTCATGGGAGGGCTCTGTGTGGTGGAGACCTGCAGTAGCCCTCACCAAGGGTGTCTAGTCCAAAACTTATCAGGTGAATATCATATTGGAAGATAATGCCTTTCCTCTTGGGATTTGCAGAGCAGCTAGTTGGTTTGTGTGGTTTGCAGCTCCCCAGGGTCTGACTCTGATGCCTGTGGGACCTTGGTTCATAGTCATTCGTGGGTGTGATGGTGTTCCCCAATTTGAGTTGAGTCAAGATTTTTCAATGCTGAACGTGAAATTGTGGAAAGAAGCCTGTTACTGGAGAGTGCCGGGGAGAGTCTGCAGCGTAAGCTGTTAGCGCAGCTTCAAGGCTCAGCTCCTTGCCCTGCAGCACACCAGAGGGAAGCTGTTTGTCCAGTGTGGGCACAGCGTCGCAGCTGCAGAGCAGAGATCACCAGCAGTCAAGCCAGCTGAGCAGGAGCTTGCCAGGTTCCCTTGGTGGTGAGGCAAGGTCTGATAAGTAGCAGTTGCCCAGAGGCCAGGAAGGCAGAGCAGAGGGCGTGCCTTGTCATGAAGCTGAGTGTGTGATATCTTTCTGCATTTCCAATCCTGAATTCTGTTTGCTGCAATAGCAATTTAAAGCAGATTTTTTCCCCCCCTTTCAGTTTCCTTTGTTCCAGACTTTTTATAAAACAAGCCACAAACATGTAGTTGTTGGGACCTCTTGGTTGCACAGCTGGCATTAGCTTGCAGTAGAATGTCTCTGACAAGGGCTCATACAGCAGTGAAAATGTCGTGCCATCAGGGAAAATCCCCCCTTTTTTTTATATAAGACAACTCTGTATTTTCTACCACTGGTTTTGTTGCAGCATAGAAGAAATGCATCTGTAGGTGGAGTTCCTGTATCAGGTGTCTGTGCAGGTTCGTGCTGTAGGTGACACTTCCAGAACCACCTAGAAGCATTTTACTATGAGAAGATGATGACCTCCCATGTGGCAGTATATGTGCTTAGCTCATAGGGTATGTTGCTGTTGGATAGCATTAGCTGAAGGGGGTATGTTTTGAGGCTGGAGATCATAGTTGAAGTCTTGGAAGAGACTTTGCAGGACTTCAGTCCAACTTTCTTCTTGAGATAGGACTCTTGGAAGCACTAGATCAGATCCATCATCAACAGAAAGCTTCTCTTTCATGTGAAAAATGTGAAAATGCAGAGCCTTAAACTGCGTGTTTGGAAAACTCTGGCTCGAGGGGGGGGAACAAAACACTGATTTTTTTTTTTTTCCCTAAGTTTCTTTGCCCTAAATCTCAGCTATCAGAGGTCAGTCTGGTATGTGGTTCATGATTCTAGGCTATCTGGCCCAGGTAGCGTGTTCTAGAAGATGTGTATGTTGGTGAACTGGGTTTGGGGTAGTTAATGCCAAAACCAGCTCCTGGCCTCACACGAGCTCTCAGTTTGAGTCCCGAGCACCTCTGGTGCAGCGCAGCTGGTGTGGCGTTACCTACTGGTCTTCCCCACAGTACTGAGCTGCAGTTTCTTCTCCTGACAGACACTGCCTACGCAAAGAACAAAGTGAATGACAAGTGGTACTACTTTGATGACAGTAGTGTATCTGTGGCTTCAGAAGACCAAATAGTGGTGAGTATTTGGCCTGAGGCTAATCTGAGTTTGTGCTGAAAGCGTGGTTCCCTGCTTTGGGCCTTACGTTTCCAGCTGAGCTGTGTGGATTGTTTCAGATGGTTTTCTTCTTTGTTTGGTAGACAAAAGCTGCGTATGTGCTGTTTTATCAGCGCCGAAACAGTGAGGAACATACTGCCCCATCTCCTCCCCAAGAAGAGTGTGACGGCATGGATACCAACTAAACATCACTGCCAGCACTGGGCCACCACATTAGCGGTCACTCTTCTAAAGCCATGCCTGAGGCGTCTGAAAACTTTTCTTCCTTCTGTAGGAGTCAAGCAGAAAAATCTAGCACTGAAAGAGTCAGTGCTGGGGGTTGCAGAATAGCACTGGAGAGCCAGGAATAGGTGCTGACACTTGGGTGTTTAGAGGCCAAAAATAATATATATTGGAGCTTCAATAAAGTTCTTTTTAAAATCTGGCTGAGCTGTGTGGCTAGAGGCAGGGGTTGGGGCTGAGCTGGGCTGGAGGTCTTGGGCTGAGGGTGTAGCTGGGGTCGGGAGAGTACAGCCTGGGCTGGAGGTCACAGCGGAGCCTTCTGGGGCCCGTGGAGGAGTACGGTGGGTACGATTCTGTGAATCGGCGAGGGGGCTTCCTGCCCACCCTCTGATGTTGCTGCTGGGCCCTGCCTGTGTCAGGGACGCATGCTGCACCCCTTCTGGAAGCTCAGTTCACATCTCTCTGCCTCTGGCCTGTCTGTTGCAGTCTCTCCCATCGTACTTTGTTCCCCTCACTGCACAGCAAACATTTCTTTTGTCCTTTCACTGATGCATTTGAGACTCTTCTGGGCAGTTTTGACTCAGCATTTTTCATGTGAATGCTGAATCCTGTAATGTAGGAAACTTCACCAGAAGCACATCATACCTGCCTGTGCATCATACATACCTGCCTGTGTGGCTGGCATACACGTGATGACAGGATACAGTGGCTCTGGCTCCCCTTCTTCTGCAGAGAAAACATCTGAAAGGTTGGCAATTTCTTGTTCTCTCCATCCATCTCCTACACCCCTCACTTCCAGCTACTCTGTAAGCATTTTTCTGCCTCTACTGTTTCTCCTATGGTTTGTGCAGTGGCAGAATTTTTATTGTTTTTTTGCTCATTTACGTGGCTCCTTGGAGCTTTTCCTCCAGCAAAGCTCAGCACTGTGTCCCCAGAGCTGTCATCTGTAAAGGTGACAGCCCAATGCAATGGATTGTGTGAGTTTTTAGCCTTTTCTCTTGCAACTTTTGGTTTTGTTTGTTTTTTTTTTTAACTGCTCTTTAAGCCTTTAGATCCCCCAACCCATCATCTTCTGTGAGGCTGTACGTGTGATGCTCCTGTCCGAGGTCTCTCTTTGCCTTAGCTAGCTGTTCCATAGTTCCGCCCCATCCTTTTGGCACAGCTGGCAAATGCTCTTCCCTCTGTCCCCCTTTACTGGCTGTTACTGGTAGGACTCAAGTCCAGTCCTCTTGAATGAGGACTCCTCTGACCATGAGATCTGGTCAGTCCTCAGTGGAAAAATGGCTTCCCATGTGGAAAATGGGAAAAACCTAGAGCCTTAGTCTGTGTTTTTTAGGGGAAGGATCAAGGTGGTGAACCAAACAGGAGGGTTTTTCCTTCTTGCAGCCAAGTGCATTGACAGAACACAAGGCTAAGCCAGGCTACTGCTCTGCTTTTTTTTTTCCTTTCCCCCGAAATGCGTGCTCGCAGCCACTCTGTCCTCGCTGTGTGCAGTCCAAGTGGCTTCACTGCTGGCCGTAACCACTTCCAACAGTCAGCGTAACAGCAGTCACCCATTTAACTCCAAATACGCCAGCTCAGCTCCCTTCCGCAGCTCTTGATGCCAAGCCCTGTAGGAAACCGTTGTGTGCCCGTCCCCGCACCTCTGCTGTGCTGCAGCTGAGCAAAAGTCCAGCCAGCGACTTGCTGCCTTGTCCTGCTCCAAGCAACGGGGAGGGTGGGCAGTGATGGGAGGCAGGAGGGCTTCCTCTAGCTGACATGCTAGTCTTGTAATCCTCTTCTGCCGAGTTTTTTCTTTTAAAGCATTGACATTTGAATTTTGAGATCAGAATTGCTTAATGCTTCTGCTGTTCTGGTTTTGGGGTTGTTTGGGATTTTTATAACTCTTAATATTTCATTTCTTTGGGTTTTTTTTTCCTTGTTACTGAGGGGAGCATCCAAAAAGCAATTGTTAAGCTGTAGGACTGCACTGAATGACTCTGATCAGCATTTTTTTTTGTTTTACCCTGAAAAAAAATAATGTGGGTATTCCAAAATGGGGAAGAGAGGAAAAGGAGGAGAGTAAAAGACCTTTTAAAAAGAAAAATCAATCTGAAACAGCCTGTGTTCTTCTCCTCGCCTCCCTACCTGTGCTGACACTGAGAAATGCATCAGTGGGGCTAAATCTCCAATGCTCAGATGCTGAACAGACTTTGTACTGCAGAAAAAGTGGCCCAGCTCTTACTTTCTCTGTCTCTGAGCTGGTGGGCTTTGGCTGGTGCGTGTGTGTGCTCTAATACCAGACCTGTTTTTTAGACTAGCACTTTGTAAGTGGCTGGCTCTATTGTACAAAGAGGAAAATTAAAGAGTGGTTTGCACTGAAACTGGGTTTTGTTGTATTTTCAGCTTTTGTGATGTGACCTGAGATTGCTGGTTGTGGGGATGCCCAGTGCTCCGGGAGCTGGGGAAGGCGAGTCCTGCGGAGCCACCCCCCCGCTCTGCCTGTGGGGATCTGGGAGGAAAGCAGCCCTTGCCTGCACTGCCCTGTACATCTGAGAGCTCGTGCTCGCTCTGGGGTTGCCTTTCCTCACCTGCAGCGCTGGGCTGCTGATACCTGGTGCTTTAGCAAAGCCCATCCTTGCTTCTCTTTCTGTGATGCTGGGCAGGCTCAGCTACGGCTTCCTCGTCATTCCTCTTCCTCTGTGGATCTCAGGGGTGACCTGGCTTTCCTTCTGTCCATTTTCTCCAGGGGTATCAGAGCTGCTTGTGGCTGTGCCACTGAAAGGGTTGTCCTGCAGTTGCAACCTGACCTAGTACATGTGAGCAGGCTGGAAAAAACAAAGTGAAATGCAAGAAGCTTGTGTGCGTTTAACACTGGTGTGCGTGCAGGGAATCTGTGGGATTCGGGTCAAGGCAGGCTGTGAAGCCCCAGTAAGGTGGTTTCAAGTCTTCATGTTGTGATTACAGTGCAGTAGTGGAGGAGGTTGATCTTAGCTGGAGCCTCAGAGAGGGTTAGAAGAGCCTTCATGTAGAACAGCAGGCAGTGAGCTTCGCTATGAAATGCTGACCTCCAAAGTGTGGCATGAAACAGGAGAAAGGGAAAGCGAAGTGGCAGCTTTTGGATGTGGAGGTGTTTGGGTATTCTCTGTCAGCGCGCAGGCTCGCAGGAACGGCTCATGCAAGAAAGCCGAGGGAGGGCATGAAGTGAAATTAAATTCCCCATTGCAAAATGGATGGAAAAATAACCTGAAACACTAGTTGTGTCGTCAGTGAAGCACTGTTGTTAGACTTCAGGAAGGAGGGCTCTGAGGCAGAGAAGAACATCTCAGATTATTTTGGTAAGAACAGAAAACAGACTATGTCTGTTCTGGCTCAGCTCCTGCTTTGAAGAGAGTGTGCAAGTGCACCCTGAAACAAAGGGCTCAGAATAAAGGGTGGGCAGGGAAATAACAGCCACAGAGTACAGAAGATCATCTGTTTGAGAAGCATTTCCCTGGGTTAGGATGCTTCACCCTGGGGAAGGGGGATCTGAGGAGCTCCTGCAGGATAAGCCAGGAATAGTTGCTCCCTGTTGTCTGCAGTGCAAGATGATGGTCAGCAGGAGGCTTAGAACAAGATGAGTATTTATTTATTTCCCCTACCTGAACAGGGACTACAGTGAATGGCCAGGCATCTTTGCTAGATCCTACATCCTGCTGCTGAGGTGTTTATAAATGGACTGAGGAAGGATTAAATTAACAGGAAAATAGTCTGTGTGTTTGCTACCTCTGCACAGAAATGCCATCTCTGGTTCTCTGCTGCCCAAAGACCTCTGAGGAGCTCCTCTGCCCAGGAACAAAAGCAGCAAGGGCGGGGGGCAGAAGTTGCCCCCCATGACCACTGCTGTATCTACCAGTGGGTTGGCCAGGGCAGAAGCAAGCAGATGGGATTTTGCAGCGCTGAGGAGCCTTGGTGCAGGCTTGGATACGGGAGGAAGGTGATCTGTCCCGTGCTTTGCCATGGGTAAGTGCAGAGTATCTCCCTCTTGCTTTTGTTTTCTTCTGAGAAAGCTTCAAACCCCAATTACTGTAACAGGAAAAGAGTATAAAGAGGAAGGACAACCATGGCTTTCAGAAACCCAATCATCATTATGAGGATGCATTAGATACCTTGTTGCTAAGTCAGTTTTGAATTGCTACCAGGATGATGATGATGTCCTAATTGTTCAAAGGTAAAGGACAACTAGCTCTGCATTTGTTTAAAAGGATAAAACCAGAAACTTAAGCACTACTTGTAGTTTTTCAGTCTCATGAAGTTTTAAGTTAACTCAAGCAAGCTTGCTCTTTGCATACTAGAACTGAAAACTTCAGGTCTTCTCTCCAGCATACATTTTGTAGGAAGAGAAACAGAAACCCACACAGAGAGCCTTTGGCTCAAATAGAACATACTCAGTCCTGGGGGTCAAATCACGAGTTAGGTAACAGCAGTTCTAAACATGGTGTTTTCTTTTATTCTCAGCCTTGCTAAAATACATTTAGTTTTAAGCATCAGATTTCTTTTCAAATTACTTTTACAAGAGACAAAAGTATATTCTCAAATTCAGAAGATGGAGGTCTGAAGTTCTTCCTTAAACATGCCTTCAAAATGGAGGTCTTTTGCCATGAGCTCCTCTTCTACATCTTCTAAGGCCCATTGATGATCAGTCAATTCTAAAGCCTCCCATTCCGTCTGCATTGATGATAAACAGAGGTAGAGAAAGGAAAGTAACACAGTATTAGTTAGACAAGAACTACGCAAAGCAGTGCTTACCTTTAAAACTGCAACAAACCCCAAGTTTTATTAAAAACATCGCAATCCTGTTCTCTCTCTGAAATCAGTGTTCTACACTTAATTGGGTATTAGTTGGTCAATACAAGTACATAATAGAAATTAGAAAAATTACATTATCTACTCTTTGAAAACCCTCTAACCTTCTGGAATAGTCCATTTCTTCTAAAAAAGCTGTCTCTAGAAACACAGCCAAGTCTACTCTGGGGGAGTCAAGTGCTTTGTGGTTAGTTAATTCTTTAGTTCAGAGACCTCTGACAAAAATAGTTACAGGCCAAAAAATGTTGCAACTGCTAAGAGTTGATGTGCCTTGTTAGACTGTTCTCTGACCAACAAGCTCCCTGGAGCTGCAGAGTTTATTAATTCATTAAGCCCAGTGTTCATAGCAGCCCAAGACCTAAGAACAGAATTTCATCCTAAATAAGAGAATGATCTCCCTCACTACTCATCTTCCACCAACTATGAACACAAATCTCTCCTCCTCTTAGTCCATCGAGTGTTGCTCCAGTAATATTGTGGAATAAGCTGCATACAGCCTGCACAATCACATCATGTGATGCCCAGCCAGAGATTTGTATTTCTTGGCCAGAACACTTCTGCAATATGGGCTTGCTTGCTTTGTTCCTGCTGGGACCTCATAGCGGGTTTAGGTCCTTACAGGGCTGAACAGCAAAACCGCTCTGGGTAGGCAGTACCAGAAAGGGAGCGAAGGGATGTGAGCCAGGAGAGGGCAGGTGCTGGCTGTAATCACACCTCAGTGCTGACAGTCTGTGACAGAACAGTCGCTGCTCCAGCAGTGCTGCAAACCACAGCCACCCTCTTCCCTGGCTGCGCCTCTGCGTGGGTGATTTTTTTTTTTTTAACCAGGAAGGTTACTGAATACAAGAAACTGCAGGAGCAGACCATCCTGACTTCCCAAACAGCAGGTTGTGTGTGGGTAAATCTCTGCTATAGTATGTAAAAACAGAAACCAGGACCTTCCCTTCGTGCATAAACTAGGGTTGTGAAAGGTCGAGGCAGTCTAATAAGCAAGCACCTATGGAGACTTCTTAGGAGAACTTCAAGACACAGTCAAATCCTGACAGATTTTTCCATTGAACTAACTCAGTTTTCTTACCCAAGGTCCATCATGTGCCTGCTGGACTTGTGCTCAGCTGCACTATTAACCCAACTTTTTGGGAGCTAGCTTCTGCTTTGGAACTAGAGCTCAAGGGAAAGAAAAAAAAATTTTCCTCTGCAAAAGCAGATGGCACATGAATTCAGCTTTTGTATCAGGAATGACTACTCAGGTTTACCTCAGGCTGTCACGGTAACTAACTGCCATACCCTTCATCAGCTGTCAGCTCTAAGTTTAGGAACAGGAGTTCCCAGAGCAGTTCCCTTACTTGACGCAGGGAGAGGCCAAGTTATATATAGCCTATGATCCTGTGAGCGCACAGCAAACAGGCCTGAGGTGGGAATACTGTACCTTAAATGCTTTGTTGGTATCTGCTGGCATGGCCATTGCTGCCCCTGTCATTTGTTCTTGCATCACCCTAGACTGATCTGCAGCTACAAGAGAAACAAGAGGTTGATTTTTGTGTCATTTAAACGGCATTTCTTGGAGCACAGTGCCACCAGGCTGGTTTCTAGCTATAGAATAGCAAGTTGCAGAAACACCCGGAATGCAACGCTAACGTGCCAGAAAGTTCTCACAAGACCTCTTGTTCCCACCCCCTACATCTTGGCTAAATTTACATAAAATATGCAGAAAAATTGAGAAGACAGTCTTCTCCATTTGCAGTAGCCCCAGAAACAGTATCTGTCCTGCCCCATATCTAGCATTAAGAAATCTTTACAGTTTTCCTTAAAACTGATCCTTACTAGAAATAAAAGCAAGCCGGAGCACAAAATTTCTGCACACCAATTTGATGGGAAGGAAAGTATGGGTTAATTACCAGGGAAGTTTACAAGCAGTCAGCCAATGGCTGGTGCAGAAGATTTGGGCACTGGCTGCAGGTGATGTCAAACCTGGCCAGTCGAGAGTAACCTCACAGAAGTGAGAGGGGCTTTCAAGAGGTTTTTGGCTGGAAATTTAGAAATCCTTCCCCAACCTCCCTTAGAAGTCGTACCATGGAAGGAGATGCCAGCTCTTTCACAGAAATTATGGTGTCTTACCATTATCTTGGCCCAGGATGAGAGTATAAATGCTTCTGAGTCCAAACACATTCAAGAAGTACCAGGAAGCAGAGCTCACCCTGATAAATCAGAACAAGCGTGGTTGATTTCAGTTCAGAGCTGGCTCATAACCTCATTTCAGAAGCACGCATAGACCATTCAAGGGTTATTAAACACATTCAAAATTTTCCAAGTGACTATTCAACCTTGCTTGCTGAGGACACAGGCTTACCAGGACGCATCTAAAGTGAGCAGTTCAATTCCCTGCTGCAACATTGGTTTAAAACGCAGCGTCAGAGGAAATGGGACCTTTGCTGCAGGATTAAAAAAAAAAAAAAAAGGCCCAGTTTCACAAAGTGCAAAGCAAATGGCAAAGTGAGTAGATAGTTCTTTTATTAAATCTAACAGTAGCTTGCAATGCGTACAGTAACAAGTTAACACATACTTTTCAAAAAGCCGTAGTTCTGTATTTATTTTAATATGAAAAGACTTTTTGAAACTTAATCAGATGGCCAAACCAACATAGGTATTGTGGGAATGCCTTTTGTTAAGGAAACAGTTATCACGTAAACAGTAAGAAAAACCCAGACCTGTAAATTTAAGGAAGTATGTTTGATGTGCACAGTGACCAACTCCCTGGACAGGTTCAGAGGAAAATCTACTGTATCAACTTTAAATTTAGGCAGTTTTAATAAATTTAAATATTGTTTTTGCCACTACAATTGTTCCTGAATACATGAGGTATTTTTTTGTGACCATGGCCAGTACTCTGGAAACAATTTTCCCTCCTTTGCTATGGAGCAAGGAAATCAATGCAGTTCGTGGAGTGAATAATGGCAGTGCCACAAGCTAAATTCATGCTGCTTCCAACAGACCGCTTTCAGGTAGAGAAGCCAAGCTCTGACGCAGCCCAGACTCTCAAGGTCGCCATCAGAAAGATGGCCAGACCCATGGCCTGTGCTATTCCAGACACTTACTTGTGACAAATCCTGAAAATGTCATGTTGATCCAACCACCAATGAGGATCATAGGCAGAACGTTGGTTACATTCCCCTTCATCATATCTGTCAACATGGTAGGATCTGCAAATCGTAGAGTTGATGTAAAGTAGCAGTGTATCACAATAAAGGCAAACAAGAGATTACTTTACCTCGCTGTCAGCTATTTTAATTACGAAACTGCATGAGAGGTAGCAGTCCTATCCCACTATCTATCCCATATCTACTATTTTCCACTGTTGTAAAATACTTTGCTGCTGCCAAAAGGGTCTTGTGTTCTCTGCTGTGTCTGACCCCAGCTGCTTTGTCTGTGTTTGACCCCATCCCTTGCTCCAGATCGCTGAACTTGCTGAACCCCTCCATGAGCTGATTTATCTAGAAAAGGGAGAATGAACTATCCAGCTACTTTGCTGCTGAGGTGTCTGGCCACGTTAATAAGTTAAATCAATTCAGAGAAGGTCCTGCAGGAGCTGGGACAAAAAACTGACGAAAAGACCCGAGTGAGAGCAGGACTTCCCATTTCTGTCAGCACTGAAGTGGTCATGGTCTTGTGAGACGCTGCAGGCAGCTGGAGGTCAAAGTCAAGCAAAATGAAGTGACCTAACACGTTGCTCCCAAAGAGAGGGATCTCGCTCCCGCCTCCTCCCTAATGCCCAGCTGCACAGTCCCACCCTTCCTTGACAGTCACTAAGCTCTTTGCAAAGTTGATTTGCATTGCCACCTTGGCAGAAAATTACAGTTTTTCTGCACGGCTATATTTGTGGTACCTTAGCATACCTGTCATCGGTGAAGGAGGCACTACCTTTCTTTTTGTTTTCTTAAAAAATCCATCCTCTGGATTATTAAAAAAATATTTCCGGGTCAGGAAAGACTGAAAAGAAAAAGAGTGAATGCCAATACTGTAAGAAATTAAAGGACAGAAGCATTATTTCTTGCTTAGACATGCAGACATCTTATAAGCTCTTTCATAACACATCCTTCTTTCTTGGAGAGGTACTTTGCTGCCCCTATGCTCTCAAGCTCCTCGCTTTTCTGTTTCCCTGGATCCAGAGTCCCAGATCTCTGGCTAATATTCTTAAAATATTCTAAGAATTCTCTGAAGAAGAATCCACATTGATTACAGAGCTTTTAGTGCTTTGTGCAAAGTTCTTGCTGGCTCAATACCGATACGGGTATATCTGGTATTTCCATTCCCCCGAGCTGACTTCTGGATTGTACAATACACATATTTCGCAGCCACTGAGCTAATATGAGCGACTGATTTTTAGTTCAGCAAACATTCCAGCTGACATTGCATGACTCCCACGTCATTCCGAGCTTTTATTAAACCCTTGTGTGTTTCTTAATAGGTATTAGACACAACGGTTTGGAGACAGACTTCACTTTCGTGTGTAGTTAAAACACCAAGTAGCGGAAGCTAAGATTAACACCAGGGAAGAGACATGTACAGAGGTCCTGTGTCCAGTTCTCCTAAGCACCTGCTACCCACCGCACTTCTAGATGCTACTCGGGGCTGGGGGAGCCGCAGCCAGACTGTCTGACCCCACGGGGCACCTCTAACCACGGCACCCCACTAACGCAACTCCTCGCTTTGTGCTCGTGTCCGAGTTACCCTCTTTGTGAAGCATACAGCCATTCAGGCGGCTCCGTACCTGTTTGGGAATGTATTTTCCGTTTTCCCGAAGGACTCTGCTCCGAATCAGGACTTGGCTGGAAAAGAGACACGTCGCGTTAACGGCACGGCCGCAG